TATGAGGGTTTCATATCCCTGACCATACGTGGTATCATCCAGGTTTCCAACTGAATCAATACCAAATGATATTGCTTTGCTGTTTTAATTTGGATTTTTTTCTGATTATAAATTAATTGAAAATCTCAAAATATTTATTGGACATCAGGATTTTCAATTTTATACATTGTTCATATTCTTTATCTGTTTTTCTGGGGGTTTTTTTTTGGCTAATTCACTAGAATTCCTTATACAAGAATATTTATCTTTTTAAATATATTAATATCTAGAACATATGGATTATCATATTCTATTAGCTCTTAACTTTGTCCACAGTATCATTAATTAATCAAAAATTATTAACTTTGATATAACCAAATTCATCAGTATTTGCCTTAAACTTAGTTCTTCTGTGGTTTTAAGAAATTCTCCATCTCTAGATCACAGGTATTTTCCTATACATTTTTCTGTTAACTATATAGTTTTACCTTTCACATCTTGGGTCTACTTTAAATACTTAATTAGTTAGCAATCTAGTTCATTTTTCTGCATATGGTAAACAAGTTTTCCCAACAACACTTTCCAAATTCTTTTCCTCTCAATATGAGATGGCACTTTTATTATCAATTAAGTATATGTGCACATTCCTACATCAGTCTGTGCTTTCTAATCCATCCAATTGGTCAATTTTTGTTGTTGTTTTTCTCTTCAGGCCAATTCTCAACATTTGATTGAGTAAGCAAGACTCATGCTCACACACACTGTTTATTTTTCTTAAGTCTGACTTGACTATTTGTGAACAATGATTCTTCCTGGTACATGGAAAATGTAACTGCTACTTTGATTGGAATGAAATTTACAGATTAATTTAAATGTATAGATTAATTCAGGAAACGTGTGGTATTTTCACAATATCAAGTCATCCCAACCAGAAGCATGACATGTCTACTTATAAAGATTATCACTTATGCCCTTTATTACAGTCTTAAATTTTTCCACAAAAATAACTTTGTTCTTAATTTAGATCCCTTTTAGTTCTTGTTGCTACTTTGAATTGTATTTTCTAGTTGATTACATGTTGTCTCTCCAACAGCATCTCGCTTGGTTTTCTTAAGTAACAGACACTAACAGGTGTCTCAACTCCAGGACAGCTGATTTGAATACAGTAGAATGTTGCCCTGGCAGAATAGCTCAGCCTGGAAAATATGACAGATTAACAGATCAACAAACTGCATTTGAATATATACACTTTGGAGTTGTCCCATATGCCTCTTGTTCCCTACATTTTGGTTTGGGACCTCCAACTGTCCAGTTAAAGAGAAAAAAATAAACTCAAGTTTTCCTCAGGATGAATAATAAGGCAACCACTATTTTTTTTACATAACAAAACCCAACACATGGTGTAGGAAACTGGGAGATTTGGCTTTTAATTTTGAGAAAGATATGATCATGTCTGTAGTCTAAGGAGAAGTAGAGCCAGGGAAAGAGAGAGCATAAAGACACCAAAGTAGCATGTTTGGAGAGAAGAGAACAGAGGATTGAAGGTAAAAAGGAGATGAAGTAAATTCTTGAGACCAGGGAGAAGAAATCTCTCATGGCTTCAGTTCACAGACACTTGCTGAGTGTTGGCAACATAGCAGGCCCTTACCCAACCCTGAAGAAATGGGGATCAAGAAGACAGTCACCATCTGTGTCCTCATGGAGACTGGAAGGTCGTGAGAGAGCCAGATATTGAGCAAGGGAATATAAGAACATGAACAGACATACAGCCTTAGAAAGAAGGAGGGACGTGTCCTTCTCTAGGATGCGACAGAGAAAGGGGGAAAGCAAGATGGTATGAGATTCTGAAGAGGAGGAAGGACTTCCGGGAAGTTGTAGATCACAGCTTTTTATCATCTCAAAAACTAAAAAGTAAAGATATCTGCTAAGAATGAAGGAAACAAGTTTATAATGGATGCCACAGGAAGAGGATTAATTTTAAATTATGAATCCATGAGCAGAATATGGGGAAGGATGAGCATCAAAGGACCAGCTGAAATAGGAGAGCATAACAGTGTGATCCCAGGACCTCTTTCAAATTCTGTGGGATGCTCCTTAAATGCATCTCCTGCACAGGCCCTATGGAGACCAACTAAACCAGAGTCCCTGGTGGTGGGACAAGGAGCTACATTTTTATCAAGTTATGCAGGAAATTCCTATGCACACCAGAAGTCAAGAATCACTGATGCAACCAGGCTGATCCCTATTGTGTTTTGAGTTTCTCTGTCAAGGTGCAGCAGCAAATTCCATACTTTAAAATTTTTTATAAAGAATTTATATTTGATACTTTTGATTGAATTTTTAAGATTATATTTTCCTTCCTCCATCCCATATTTTTTTCAAGATTGTCTCTACTATTTGTTTGCAAATAATTTTGCTCTATTAAATTGGTGCAAATTAGAAGAAATAAGAAGCTAATTCTTTCATTAGTGGCTATAAATGGTTTCATATTTACAAGGTATTTTTTTTTCTTTCAAAGGGAAAAATACCTATTTTAGAAGGAATGTATTCCATGAATAAAGACTGACAGATACTACCAAATAGTATATTTTTTTAAGTGTTAGCTACAATTATAGTTTTCAAGTTTTAGTTCTTTCTACATCCACATTTTCTTAACATCTACCTTCAGGTGAAATCTAGGAAATGGAAGTTTATTAAATTTGGGCTTTACTAAAAAGCAACTGACAGATGAAAGTTAAGTAGGTGTGGAAACCATCAAGAAAGAAATGGTTGACAAGAAATCCCTAAATAAGATCCTTGAATTTCACAGACAGTTCTAAATGCCAAAAAAAAAAAAATGGATAATGTAGTAAAGATCTATAAGGAATAATCTCTTAGGAAACTATTGTTTCCAGTGATTAATATCCAACTTTTCCTAGAATAACATTTTTTACAAAAAAGTAAATAGTCTGATATATAGGCATATGACAGATATACATATATAAATATATATATATACACATATATTCCTATGAAACATGAGTTTCAAAACATTTATCAATCTGTTCATGTTGAAAGAGAGGGGAATTTAAAAGTTTGATAAAATTATTAAATAAAATTTATTTATAGAAAACAGTAATTCATTAAGCTTCTCACCAAATTTCTTTATTGTTGCATCTTAAGTTTTAAAATCAATAATAATTTTTCTGGAATATACTACATGTAAGTTTTATCATTATCATCCAATCTGGAATTCTTAAAAATAACACCCACTAAAAGAAATCTTTAACATGTGCCATTAGGATATTGTGCAAAAGAAGTATTTCTACAGAGCAGAATAACAGAGAAAACCACATTCTAATATTTTAATTTTAAGCCATATCATTCACTGTGAATAACTGACATAAGTATATTTACATATTGTTCAATTTGTCAAAGACTATGTTTTAAATGATAGATTTTTTTAATATCCTAAGAGTATATGGATTCTGGTGTCCCTAGGCACAGTTTATGTTAGTTTTTTAAACTACTTATAGCGAATCCAAAGCTGAGACATTTAAGCATACATAATAAAAATTTTAATCTTCAAGTTTCTCAAGACATAGACCACAGCCACAAAGAATGTTCCTCTCAAGCTGCCTTTCTATAGATCATCACTTCATAAATAAAAGAAAACATATCTAGTAGATTTAATCTGTTTATGAAATCATTTCAGAAAAATGAGTGATTGATTGTCATTCAGTGAGTCTTCTTCTCAGTTCAGTTTAACAGACATAAACAGTAAAGACCATAGGAGTTGTAAAACTAACGACAACAGTTTATTCTTAAGGTTTTTTACTCTGCGTCAGGCATTGTCCTGATTCATCCTCTGTTCTGTCCCCAGCAGCAGGAGTGATTCTACCACCGGCCCAGTGCGATCCCGCCTCTGCTATGTTGAGACCCTACAGCCACTTCCCAGCTCCCTCAGCCTAACAGCCAGCGTCCTCACCCCAGTCTACAAGGCCGCACACGATTTGCACACAGATGTCCTCCCTCGCCTCATTTCCTCCTGTTCTCTCTTAGGCACAGCGGCCTCCTGACCATTGTCCCAACATGCCAGTCACAGTCTGCCTTTGGGTCTTTTCAACTGCTGTCCCCTTTGCCTAGAAGCACTCATACCCAGGTATCTGCATGGTCGTCCCCCCACTTCCTTCAGATCTTTATTCCTAAATCACCTTCTCAGGAACACCCTCCCTGTCTGCCTTATCTAGGTTTGTGTAACTCCCCTCAACACTTCCAGTCCTCCTGCCAGCTTCATTCTTCCTTAGCAATTTTTGCTAGCATAATTTGTATTTTTCTTATTTATTTCCCATCTCCCCCCTAGAATATAAGTTCCATGAAGGCAGAGATTTTGTATGTTTTGTTCACTGCCACGGCCTCAGTGCCTAGAAAAGTATATGGCATGTATAGCAGATGCTCAGTAAGTGTTTACTGGATTAATGAAAGAAGGAATTAAATTTTATCACTTATTCCTGAAGGAAATAGAGGACAACAGGCTTGTGTCATCACGGAGAAATTTCAAGTATGAAGCATTAACATTAATAACAGCACAGATTTGACAGAAGGCTCCTGCTTTAGCTATTAGTCTTCAACAAAGTGCAAACCGGGGGAAAAGCAGTCTCCTTTCTGTCCCTCGGTTCCTGACCCATTTTAGGTGCTTAATAAATAGTTGTTGCCGGTTCTTTGGCCCAGTCTTTTATATCTTCCAGCTTTGTGACAGAGTTGCATTTCTGTTCTTTATTAATCTGTAATATTTTAGCATCCAGTCACTTACAAAAGTTGATTTGTATTCTCTGGTTCGACCAAATCTAGACTGGAATATTTCTTGACATAAAAAGTATGAAGTTGGAAAGCACAAGAACCGTAATTGTGAGCACAAAGCAGCATAAAGAGCAGCCTCATCCCTGTGGCATCTAAGTGGTGGCAGCAGCCCAGGATCACAGCTCGCCATAGGGTGATGAATGTAGAATGCTGGCTGTGGCAATTTGCCCTCCATGCGGGGTTGTAGGAGCATTTCTCACCATCAAACCTCACCTGCCACCACTTTGTTCTGCCCTGCCTTTCCGTGTTCTGTGCCGTGCTGGCTCCACTCACCTTCTCAGCCACCTGTTTAGGCTCAGCTGTATTCTGTGACCAGTGATGGCCACAACTAGAGAATTCCCATCACTAGCCTGCCAACAATGATGGAAAGTTTGGGGCTATCAAGGAGTGGACTCTTAATAAGTACATATTAAATACTCTTTAAAGAGTGTCCAGGCTGATGTGCTGCCAATGTTGTCACCACGCTAGTTGAGTGTGGCACAGTGGAAAGTTCATGGGCTTTGGGACTGGACAGACCCGGGTTCAAATTCCAACTCCGATTTTTTTTAAATAGTTCATACTTACAAAGAACTGACTACATATCAGGCACTGAACTAAGCACTTTACATATATAAAGCATTTGATACTCATGTATAATTATTTCTATTTTTATAGATGAGGAAATTGAGGCTTACTAATGTGCTTCAAGCCACATAGCTAATAAATGGCAAAGCAGGGTCTGGAGTCCTAATTTTTCAAATCCATTATACTTAACTACTGTTTTACACTATGTAGATTTTTAGAAAGAAAATTAACTTTATTAGCTCTTGAGAATTTAAATGAAAAAAACATAAATAACCAAGAACACAGTGACCACTCACATGTGGAAAGTCTCTGTTTTAAATGTGACAATATTTGAAGAATTATTGTTAATTATTCTATGTGTTAATGGATTATTTTACATGTTTAAGGGAGAATTATTACTTTTAGAGATATATTCAGAAGTATTTACAGGTGAAATAATATTGTGTCTGAATTTGCTTCAAAAGAATCCCCTGGGATAGGGGATATAGATATAGATTTATGTAGATAAAACACGACAGTCATAATTACTAAAGTTGTGATGAGTACACTGGGGGTTGTAGTACTTTCATTCTACTTTTACTATAGTTAGAAATAATAAAAAAAAGTGTTTTTAACATACCTCTTAAAATAATGTAAGGTGTTGTGTGTGTGTCTGTGTATATGTGTATACACAGAGAAAGAGACTTGTTTTTCTAGAAAGAGCCCCCATAAATGGGAAATAAACCATTCTGTTTCTTATGAATGAAACTGATCTTTAGACATATGATTTCTTAAATAATAAGGTGTTCCAATA